GTCACATGCCTTTAACCTCAGCACACAGGAGGCAAAGACAAGTGGATCTCTGTGAGTTCAAGGCCAACCTGGTCTACAGAGTGGGTTCCAGGACAGCCAGGGCTATTACATAGAGAAATCATATCTCGAAAAACCAAAAAAAAAAAAAAAAAAAAAAAAAAAGATAAGAAAATCTGTGAAGGTGAAGCTAAAAGAGACTGACCTAAAGAGTAATGGTTTACAAATTTTATTAGTTTACTTAGGTCAAAACCATTAAGGGGCTTTAGGTACTATGTATGTACTCTGGTGCATATTACAGTGTTGAAGGAAAGATTTTCTATACAGGAAGGAAGGAACAGCTATGTACAGTGAGCTCCCTGGGTTATAGCCTTAGGTGTCACTGCCTCAAGATTAGGGTGTCATGCACTCTGAGTCCTCGAGTTTAATATTAGTCTTGCTCTCAAGCAAGAAAATGTTTTCTTCTTTTAAACATTTAATATTATGCCTGGTGGTGGCTCACACCTTTAATTCCAGCACTAGGGAGGCAGAGGCAGGTGGATCTCTGTGGGTTCGAGGCCAGCCTGGTCTACAGATCGAGATCCAGGACAGCCAGAGTTACACAGAGAAACCCTGTCTCGAAACCCCCCCCCCCAAAAAAAAGAAAGAAAAATGTAATATTGTGCGTATGTATGAGCGTGTGCATGATAGCTGTGGATTGTGGGAACATGGAAACCAGAGGACAACTTTGTGATGTCAGTTCTCTTCTTTGACCTTCATGTGGGTTCCAATGATTGAACTCAGGTCATCACTCTCATCTATCAAACCTTTACCCACTAAGTCATCTCACAGGCCCCAAATAATATTAACTTTTTGAATGAATACTGTTTTTTATTTTTGATTGCAAGTGCTATGGGATAATTCTTCTGTACACTGTGAATATATGTCCCTATGATTGGTTTAATAAACAAGCTGACTGGCCAATAGCTGAACAGGATAAAGTTTGGCAGGAAAGCCAAACTGAGACTGATGGGATGAGGAAGGGTAGAGTCAGAGGAGTCGCCAGCCAGCCAGAGGAAGAATGAATTAGACATACAAAATGGGATAGAAGTAAAAGCCATGAGCCTCAGGGCAGCACCTAGATTAATAGAAATGGGTTAAATTGTAAGCTCTAGTTGATAACAAGCCTGAGCTATTAACTGAGCATGTATAATTAATATAAGCCTCAGTGTGTTTGAGAGCAGCTATGGGACAGGAAAATTCCACCTCTATGGGTGTGTGTGTGTGTGTGTGTGTGTGTGTGTGTGTGTGTGTGTGTGTAAATTCAACCCCACCCCCCTCTTGAACCATTTGTAGAATACTGTAATCATAAAACTTCAGTTTCTTTGTATATTGATTATTTGTTTTCTTGAAGTGTTTTTCTTGATTGAAAATGAGCAACTTGAGAGAAATGAGAGAAAGCCTGGGTTAGGAAGCAGGTTGCCTTATTTCAAATTCAGGTGTTGCATCAGGCCCTCCCTCCTCTTCTGTTCCAATGTAGCCTGGCCTAGACTAGATATCCTTCATTGTCTGAGGTTGGTGGTAGCCTCCTTGAGACATAAATTTTGGAGTTTCCTTAATTTCTGCTAAGAGGAAACAGGAAATTCCAACTGGGCACAGAAAGAGGTTGTTACCTGCTCTGGAAAACCAGGAGCAAATTCTGCCTAAATGTAACTAACCCCCATGCTGGTCATTAGGAGGAATGGCTATCTGTTCTGAGCAATGTAAACTCTTTCTAGAAAAGTGGAAACTAGAGAATATTCAGGGCCCAGAGGGACTATTAGGGATTTGGGTGGTTCTAGTTGTCCAATCAGGAGCGCCAGTGGGGGGTAGGTAACTTACTGACAGGTGAGGAAGAGAAATCACCTCAGTTTGCAGCTCAAGTCACCGTTCCACTCAGTCCCCTATGTCCCCACTTGATGGTCTCCCAAATCGGGAGGGTGTAGATGTAATTCAGTATAGATGTTGCCAACGGTTTTATCAAACAAGAACACAGAGCTGATTCAGAGAAGAAAGCCAAGAGGTCAGAGCCAAGAGCCTCACCCTTCCTGATTCAGGGATCCTCCTCAGCCCAGAGAGCTCTCCGAAAGAGAGCCCTACTTCCTGTGTGTCTGTCTCTCTAGTCTCCTTGTTCTGGCTTCTCATTGGTTGTAAACCCAATCATGTGACTGCCTCGTCAATGCCTGTATGTACCGCCCTCCAGGTCCTTAAAGGCGTACGCCACCACTGCCACGCACTTGCTATGGCTCTAATAGCTCTGACCCCAGGCAACTTTATTTATACCACCACAGGAGGGTGGTGGATGGATCATAGAGATTATGTGCTGGAGCAGCTGTCCCCACTGTACTGTGCTCCTTTCCTGGCAGTGTCAGGTTCCTGAAAAGCAGGGCCTCTAAGGAATGTAGGTAAATCCCTGAATTTCCAGGCACTTCCCCACATTCCAGACTCACTGAAAATGAGGATCTGCAGGCACCAAAGGTTTGCAAATGAAGCGGAGGAGGAGAGTAATGTAATTGTTGATGTAATTATTACTGTGTCTAGATACTGTTTTTGTTTTTTGTATTTTTAATAGTGATGCTTAAGGTTATACACATACTTATTTGAAAGTGGCGTTACATCAGGGGAAAGCTCCTCAAGGATTAGATAGAAAAGGAGGATTCACAGGCTTCCCTCTCCGGGTTCAGGTGGGGGTGGGGCAGACAGGAGTAGAAAGAAGATAGGAGGGGTTGATGGAAGACGGTAAATCAGCTCCCAGGTCAGAGGCATCCTTCCTCTGTGGTGAGCCTGTTCTTTGGGCTACATTGGCAGAGGGGCTGTGTGCTGGGTCAGGCTGAGGAGTGAGTCAGTGGTCTTCACAGACCTGGTGGAAGGAGGTAAATACTATTTAGTGTTCTGTTCTGTTGATCAGCTCAATCGATCAGTTTTGAGGCAGAAAGCTAGCATCTGGAATGTTTGTCTCTGGTCCAGTTTTAGATAAAAATAAATGCAAAAAAAAAAAAAAAAAACAACCCAGTGTACATGTGGCATAATTTTAAGTGTGCAAGGAAGGGTGCTTCTTCAGCAGAGAAAGAAAGGGGTGAAATGTGCAAGTACTGCCATTTACCAGAATCTCAGTGCTTGAGTGAAATCCAGCATCTTCTCTTACTTTCTTTTAGAGCCAGGCAGTTGGTCTAGTCATATAGTCATAATGTAATTTGTGATGGTTGAGTAAGTCTGTTAGTGGCAATCCAAGAGAAAGATGCCTTTGGATTCTGTTTCCTGGACAAAAGTTCTATGAATTCAATGATGGGTTTATATGTGACGTCTAGTAAGAAAAAATTATACTTGTCCAGATTGGGCGCAGAAAGCCTTACATTTTTTTTTTTCCCCTGAGCAATAGGAAAGGCTTTGAGCAAAACCTGGATTTATGCTAATGGTGTAACTCACTATCTGTGACCTCAGAATTGCAGTGATGACCAGAAAAAAGAAATACATGCTGTGGGCCAGGATCTGTGGGGTTGGTTTGAGGAGAATGCTCTGAACTTGTTGGGACTTGGGAAGTCTGAGTGCTAATGGGTTGAATTGTGGGACATCCAGCTGGTGTTTGAGAACTGGTGAGTGTTTAGCAAACATGACACATTCTGTGTTAGAAATGATATCAGAAGATGAGACCACAGACCACAAACTTCACTTGACTCTGATAGTTGAATTAAAATTAAAACTATATTTATCTATTCATTTATTTATGGGTGTGTGCATGCACACATGGAGGTCAGAGGACAGCTTGCAGGAGTTGGTTCTCTCCTTTTACTGTGTGAGACTGAACATAGGTTTTCAGGCCTAGTGGCAAGTGCCCTTACCCACTGAGTTATCTTGTTGTTTCTGAGTGTTTGAACACTGGCTAGAATCATGAAAGGCAGCCCTTTTCACACTAAGAGGAGATGAAAGTAGCTTGTGTGGACCTCTTCTCTCCTCTTCCTGCTTGTTTTGGAACAAGGTTCTTGTAGCCTAGGCTGCTCTCCAACTCTATGTAGGTTTCATTTGTGTGTGTGTGTGTGTGTGTGTGTGTGTGTGTGTGTGTGTGTGTGTGTATGTAAGTGATTGAACCTTGCTCTTCACTGTTCCTGTATTACCCTACTGTGCCCTTCTCTCCATTTGTTGCTGGTCCCCTTCCTCCCTGAAAAAAGCCCATTCCTCCTTAAACAAAATATTTAAGTCAAAGTCTTCATATAAGAGAAAGCATACAATATTTTGTCTGTCTTCTCCATTGCCCTTTCTTGTTCCTCCTCTTTATGCCTTTATTCCCCTGGTTCTCTGCCCCTTCTGATGGATTCACAACACGCCCCCACGGTTGGGCATGTTTGTGCATGCCCAGCGGACCTGGACACTTCCGCCTAGCCAGTTCCAGGTCAAAATAGCCATTTCTGGGTCAAGGCGTCTCGCATGACCAGGATCCGTGACTTTGCATTGTTACGTAAGCGTGCAACGTAGCCATGTGATCTACGCGCATGCGTGGAGTTACGTCGACCTGTGCACGCCCAGCCTTTATAAGCCGGCGCCATATTCCCGGCTCCTTTCTCTTCTTCTCTACACACGTGTCTTCCACAGGCCTGGGCACTCGTCTGTCCCTTTCATCTTAATAAAACTTTTATTAGCGAATTCTGTCATGTTTCGTGATATTTCCTGGCAGAGTAAGAGCGCCACAAAATAACTAACACCTCCTTTCATACAGACTCTCTCTTAACACACACACACACACACACACACACACACACACACACACACACGCTTCCTTCTTCAATCTGGATTTCATATATGGCATAAATCATGCAGCATTTGTTTTTCTGAGCCTGCCTTATTTCACTTAACATGATAAACTTCAGTTCCATACATTTTCTACAGATGCCATAGTTTTAATCTTCTTTGAAGCTGAATACAATTCCATTATGTGTACGTGTTGTGCCCAGGTCACTAGTTCCCCAAGCAAGACCACCACAGAGCCAATATCTGATGCAAGCACACAGAGGTTTTTAATAACAAAACAAGCAAGCTTGGAGAATGGCCCCAAGCACTCACTTTAAGGAGTTTATATAGGAAAAGTTTACATGCAGCTTGGGATTGGACAAGAGGGGTAGGGGTGAGGCAGTTCTTTGAAGTTACTGGCTGAACTATAAGCATGAGGTTACTGATGGCTAACAGGATTCAGGGTATCTACAGAGACGTAAATTTTTACTCCCTATGTCCTGGTTTTGTTGAACCCAGGATATATACATTCATATTTATTATTCCAGTTCTACTCTCTTCTAAGGTCAACTTCTGGTCAGTTGAGTCCATTACTCCCCATATATTGTTTTGCCAAGTCCAGGATACATAGATTTATTGTCCCAGCCTTATAAGTTCAGTTTTTAGTCACTTCTAAAACTGCTGGTCAGCAAATACCTTTGGAGGAGGGGAGGGGGAAGCATCTCTCAAGATGGCTACTGATTTTTCCCTTTCATATGTAGTATATTTTCTTTATCTATTCCTCTGTTGATAGGAATCCAGGTTGGGCCCATAACTTATTGTGAATAACTATTGTAAACAAAGTGGCAATAAACATTGTGTGTATCTCTGTGGTATGTTGACTTAGATTCTTTGTGTATATTCCCAGGAGTAGAATAACTGAACCGTATGATAGTTCTCTTTTTAGTTTTTGAGGAACTTCCATATAGGTTTCCATAATTGCTGCACCTGTTTACATTTCCCCCAGTAGTGAATATGGATCCTTCCTTCCCTGCATCCTTGACCGCTTTTTCTTTTAATTTTTTTTTAATGTAAGGTTCTCTTTTGTTTAAAAGATCATTCACAAAATACAGTATCTCCAGACTCACTTTCTGTCATAGAAATGGATGTGTTAAGTGTTTGGAATGCCATTCTTGGAGTCAGCGGGCACTTAGCAGTGTGGGTGGAAGTGCCTGTTCTGTCTTTTCTGTTGTAGACGGATTAGATCATATGAAAGCATCAGTTTTGATTACAACCATGCAGTGTATGTCTGTCTCAAGTTAGGTATTGGTGTTACACAAATTGTTCTTATCTCAGAAGCAAAGAAAGAAGATGATAGGCAAGGGAAGGAGTGAGAGTTCTATAAATTGCTGAGACCTAGAGACAAAGGGTAGGCTGGAAGGAAGCTACTAGCTAATAAGCAAGCTATGTACCTCTCAGCCCCCTTCCCTAAGGCTCTAGTGATTGTCTGACCCCTAACTGCTCCAATTGGAACAGGTGGGGATTTGGTGCCAAATCATTTTCCATTTGTTCACACACAGCTGTTCAAGCTAAAAGCAAAGCCTGATCCCCTTGTTCCCAAGTGAGTGCTCAACAATGTGGGAGCAGGGGTCTGCTCCACAGAGGAGGCAGCAAGCCTAGAGGTTTCTAGACACCCAGGTCTTAATAGGTATGCATCTGATTAGATAAAGCACCAGACTCTGGGCCTTCAGCTGTGGTGGGGAGCAGCCTCTGTGTTAAGCGTGGCAGAGTAGGCAGGCAAGGGACAGAGCACACAGGCTCAGTGCAAGCACAGCTTGCCCAGTGCAGCTCCAGCACAACAACCCTTGCTTCCTTACAGGCCTCCATGGGCCAGGTAGAGCAGGGAGAGCATGAGCTTGCTCTTGGTCGTAAGTGCAAGCAGGAGCAAAGTCACATGGCTGCTGGCACTCAGGTCACCACCAGTGAAGAATGTCAGATTCCCCTGAACCTTTCTGGCCTCACTGTTTGACAGGAGCCCTCTGTGCCTGAACAGGCTGCTGGGGCAGGTGACAGGACCCCCAACACAGCAGCCTGTCAGGACCAGCCAGCATGTTTCCTTTTTTGAAAGCAAGATGCCTTCAATTCTGCATGCTCATCCCAACTAGATACCAACAAGTCACCACCAGTCACCTAGCCAGTGGCTTCTTTCCCAGAAGCCACATCAACACTGAAGTCAACCTGCAGGTTGGAGAGAAGCCCTGAGAAAAAGTAGAGGACAGCACACCTGGAGCTTAGCCAGGCCGTGTAAAGGAAAGAAAGAAGGCAAAGACGAATTAAAGCAGCACCTCTGCCTGCCTACCTTCCACACATGACAACCACACCCACAGGGTGTGGGAAGGAGCAGGGAGAGGGCAGGAGTGAGAGAGGAAAGAAACAAAACAGAAAGCACAGAACAGGCACTAGATGTAGCAAAGCCCAAGACTGTACTAGAAACCACTTGTTAGCAGCTGACATGCACTCACAAGCTCTGTGTTTCTCCTGTAAGGAGGACAGTGCCAGGCAGGACTGGGGCTTGCAGGGCCACCAGGCACCACCAGGCTGTGTGTGGTAGTAATTCAGCTTCCCCATACCCTATTCCCTCCCAACCTAAGCTCATTCTTGCTCCTTCTGAACCACTTCCTCTCTGGGCCTGGCTCACCTGAAGATGGCTGAGTTGGAGTTGGCTACTTAGTTGAAGGGTGTTGCCATGGTTGTAGGTTTAAGCTGCAGCTATGGTCTCTGTTCCCATTCCTCTTTGTGGCGAGCCACAAGAATATGAAATAGAAGTCCAGCTGTATGCAATAAGCTATACCTTGACCAGGCCAAGAGTCAGTCAAGTGGGAAGACATCTAACATGGACTATTTAGTGTTACACAGCTTTAATATTCAGCTGCGTCTTGCTATGAATTGCTTGTGCTCATAATTTTCCCAGAATGTGTGTATGTGTGTGAACCTCCCATCTGGGGCATTACATTATGCTCCAAGTACTTGGATAACGTCCCTGTAAGCAAAACTTTCTGGCTCTGAGCTCCCAACTCCTCTGTTAGCATTTGAATTGGGTATCTGCCTTTTGCAAATATTTCCTTTTAGCCACATCCAAAGATAGGGCCAGCCCCAAACAAAGCATTGAAAGACAAGCAAGGAACAGAAAGGCTACCAGACCACCTGCTAGGCGCCTGTAGCCCCTAAACTAGGTAAAATATCCTTTCGGAGACAACCTGGCTCTTAGGCCAAATGCCTGGCTTCCTAGGTGTATAGTTTTGCTTCTTGTGCAAATCAAGTTCAGATCTTCCACTGCCCCAGAGCAACTTCTTAGATCAAAGGGGTTCCCTCTCACCTGGTGCTTCAAGCTGTGCTGCAGATTGACTAGCTATCAGTACTCCTTCCCCGCCCTGTCAGAAAACTGGTAGCAGAGAAAAATAGTGGCAGTTTTATTTTTAGTGACTTGTAGATTTCTTTACCCTATCACCTGTAAGTTTATGGTTTGAGCACATTTAGGATAGACCCATAATGTTTTCACCTAACCATAGTAAAGATATATTCCTAGGACATAAATTCCTTCTCTGACTTATTCCAGCTCCCATCTAATTCCACCCCTTTTTGGGTTGCAAATGAAGTTGCGAGGAAGCTTCGGTGGGGGCTTTCCAATTCTTATGTTGTATTGTATACATGAAGGTGTTCCTGGCTTGGAAAAGATATAGATGAGTCCCAAGAGAAGCGGGCAGAATATTAGGAAGGATGATGGTGGCGGACAAATAAACAAGCTGGACGAAAGAGCTCCGTGCATCTGGATTCATTCCCACGCCGCTGGTTGTGTCCCTTCTGGGCCCCTGGGAGGTGTAATACTATGGCTGGTCCTTAATATACAAAACCTCTTCTGTGGGTTCTCTGAAGTTCATGTTAGAGCTACACAGAAGAGTGCCATCTCAAAAGCGACTCCTCATTGGAAGGCCTGCCCACTAGTGTAAGGATTCTGTCCTTAATTATGTCATCAGCCTGCGATAGCCTCCCAGCCTAAAAAGCGGGTGGGCCCTCTGTGCGTCCCTCTCTTTCCTTTCCGCTCCTTCCTTCCGTCTGTCCTCTCTCTCCCTCTCTCTCCCCCCCCCACCCCGCCCCCATAACGCTCTAAAAAGGTAACCATGGCTCGTGACTCTCCTCCAGCACTCTCCTCCGTCAGCATGGCCGCTACAGGCCGCGGCCAGCCACGAGCAGCGCGCCATTTAACCAACAACTAGTCCCAAGGGCGACCCCCTCGCCCATCCCTTAAGCAGTCATCCCGGGAAGAATCCCATCCACCTCTAGATTCTCTGTCACTTCTAGATTCTTCTGTCATCAGGTCCGCCTTTCCTGAATCCAAAGCCACCATTATCTTTTTTTCTGCCTTCTGCAATGTCCGCATGAAGTGACTGGTCACCCAAGAGTGCACTGTTGTAAATCAGAGCCTCCTTCAGGGAATCCTCCTCATCAAATTCTACATAGCAGAACCCTTTAAATTTGTCAGTGTCTTTGTCTCTGGCTACCCACACATCTTATGCTGAGATCCTTAAGATACCATATATGTCACCCTGAATTCTGTTGAAAGGGAGATTTCCTATGTAAGCTGTGTAGGGAGGCTCAGCGGGCAGCTCCTGGCTTCAGGACCCATGGCCATTAGCACTGCTTTGGGGCCCTCTAAGGCCACCAAAGTTGTTGCAGACCCGATCCTCATAGGTATCAAAGTCTGTCTTGCTCTCTGTGCTCCTTGAGGAATCTTATTTTAATTTAAAATATTTTAATTTTAGCTGGGTGTGGTGGTGCATGCCTTTAATCCCAGTACTTAGGAGCCAGAGGCTGGTGGATCTCTGAGTTCATGGCCAACTTGGTCTACAAAGCGAGTTCCAGAACAGGTAGGGCTATTATACAGAGAAACCTTGCCTCAAAAAACCAAAACCAAACAAACAAATAAATACAATTTTGTTTTACTTGCATGCATTTCTGTGTCTGATGTGCATCCTGGTGCCCGTAGAGGCCAGAAGAGTGTCAGATCCTCTGGGTGACTGTGAGCCACCTTGTTGGTGCTGGGACTCAAACTAGGTCCTCTGGAAGAGCAGCCAGGGCTCCTAACTGCTGGGCCATCTCTCCAATCCCCCCCATGCACAATTTTTTTTCTTTTATTTTATATGTTATATATATTCCTGGCTGGCCTGGAATTTACTATGTAGACGAGGCTGGCCTAGTACTGATAGTGATCTCCCTGCCTCTGTATCCTGAGTTGTGGGATTAAAGGCATACACTGCAATACCCAGCTCATGTTTTTTTAAAAATGATAGCAATTTTTACTGGGAAGATGAATATTTTTCTTTTTTCCGTGTGTGTGTGTGTGTGTGTGTGTGTGTGTGTGTGTGTGTGTGTGTGTATGAGCGAAACAGGTTTCTCTGTGTAGCCCTGGATGTCCTGGAACTTGCTCTGTAGGCAGGGCTGCCCTGGAACTCAGGGATCTGTCTCTGTTTCCCAATTGCTGGGATTAAAGGTGTGTACTACTATGTGTGGCTACAAGATGAAATATTAATGCAGTTTTGATTTTTGTTTTCCTGATAGCTAGGGATGTTGAATTTTTTGTTTATTTATTGGCCATTTGTATTTCTTCTTTTGAAACCATCTGTTCAATTAACTCAACTATTTCCTGATTTGGATTAGTTTTTGTTTTATATATGTTTAATTATTATAGTTACTTTAAAAACATATTTTCTTTAGTTTTTAAAGATTTTATTTTTAATTATGTGTGTGTGTGTGTGTGTGTGTATGTGTGTGTGTGTGTGTGTGTGTGTGTGTATTTTGGGATGTGCATGTGAGTGTCAATGCCCACAGAAGAGGACAAAGATCCTTTGGAGCTAGTTACAAGCCATTGTGAGCCACCCACCATAGGTGGTGGGAACCAAACTCTGGTTCTCTGCAGGAGCAATAAGGGTTGTGAACTGCCGAATCAACTCTCTAGCCTGTTTTTATTTATTCTTTGAGACTTCATACAATGTATTTTGAGTGTATTCACCCTACTCCCCTGTTCCAGCTCTTCCTGGATATTCCCATCCACCCACTTTTTTCTTTTTGTTTTTTAAAAATTTAACTAAGTGAGCAAGGTGTGGTGATGTATGCCTATTGATACCTGGAGGAGTAACTAGCCAAGGCTATGGAGGAATGTTGCTAACCTGCTTGCTCTCCATGGCTCACTCAGCCTGCTTTCTCACTTTGCTCATATATTAAATAGTTACAAATCCTACCATTGACCATAGTGATTATAAAATAAGACATGAGACACACTTTGGCTATAATGCCAATTTTTGTTTTTGTTTTTGCTTTTTGTTGGTTTTTCGAGACAGGGTTTCTCTGTGTAGTTTTGGTGCCTGTCCTGGATCTCGCTCTGTAGCCCAGGCTGGTATAGAATTCACAGAGATCCACCTGCCTCTGCCTCCTGAGTGCTGTGATTAAAGGCATGTGCCACCACCACCCAGCTAATTGGGTTTTTATTATCACTGAAACAAAGGAAAAAGTCAGTGTTTAAAAACTTTGAAGCAGCTATAGATGATCAACATGTGATTATCTTGACAGTGAATGGGCTCTAGAATACACAGGTGAATTGAAATTCTTTTTTTTTTTCCAAGAAGTTTTCTCTGTGTAGCCTTGGCTGTCCTGGGAACTCACTCTGTAGACCATGCTGGCCTCGAACTTACAGAGATCCACTTGTGTCTGCTTCTGGAGTGCTGGGATCAACAGTGTGCACTACCACTGCTGGGCCAGTTTTCTATTGTTGAAAGTTCTGAATACCTTATTTGATATTCAAAAATGAAAATTAAGGAAAAGCCTAATAATTGAAAGCCAACTATATATTAGGCAAATATTTGCCACATGAAAGATAGCAATTTAATAACAACTAGAATTGAATATAAGAAAAGAATATTGTTTCATCATCTGCCATATACCTGTGAAAAGAAGCACGACATCCTGGAGACACTTCAGACAACAGGATTACTTCTGGACCACAGGACTTTATGCCAGAAGAGGACATCAGATATCCTGGAGCTGGAGTTACAGGTACTGATTGAGCCATCCAACATGAGTCTTGGGAAACACTCAGGTCCTTTGGAAAAGCAGTAAGCACTCTTAACCACTGAGCTGTCTGTCCAGCCCTGATGAAGCTTTTAAAATACATACTGAAAAGATAGCCTTTTTAAAAGAACAGTGCTGAAGCTGGGTAGTGGTGGTGCACGCCTTTAATCCCAGCACTCAGGAGGCAGAGGCAGGCAGATCTCTGAGTTCAAGGCCAGCCTGGGCTACGAAGTGAGTTCCGGGAAAGACTCCACAGCTACACAAGAGAAACCCTGTCTCAAAAAACCAAACCAACCAACCAACCAACCAAACAAACAAACAAAAAAACCAGTGCTGAGATAATTGCATAGCTACATGTAGAAGAATAAAAACACTATCTCTCCCAACCTGCATAAAAAATTAACTCAAAATGGATCAGAAACTTTAATTTTAAGACCAGAAATTCTGAAACTGCAGTAGCAAAAGGTTGACAAAACCTTTGTAGATGTAGGTTCAACCAAGGACTTTGTTTTTAGATTTATTTTTATTATTCTAAGTATTTATTTATTCCTGTGTGTAGGTGAGTGCATGAGTGCATGTGCAAGCAGAGGGCAGAGGTGAGTTACAGGTAGTTGTGAGCCCCTTGATGTGGGTACTGGGAAGTGAATGTGGGCCCTCTGGAAGAGCAGTACATGCTCTTAACCACTGAGCCATTTCTCCAGCCCAGCCAAGGATTTTCTAAACAGGATTCCAATTACATGGGAGATAAGTCCCAAAATCAGACAAATGGGATTGCATGAAATAAAGTGTTTGCACAGCAAAAGAAACAATCAGCAATGCAAAGAGGCAGCCTATAGAATGGAACTCCAATAATTGAGGCAAAACATCATCTCCTAGACATGACATGGCCACTGCACTCATGAATTCACAGCAGCTGTGGTGATTTGCACAAGATCAAGCCAGTCAATCTTCCAACATGGGTGAGGGAGGGGCACAAGAAGCCCTATCTCTAGCTGAGTTATTGTCAGTTGAGGGCTAGTAGGGGAAGGAGAATCAGTTGTTTTTCAAGAGAGTAGGCCCTGGAAGGGTGACCATGCTCTCTCCAGTAAATGGCCCCACACCCATGCACACACGAACAGTACTAACTGGCCTCAGTGTTTTGTTTTGCTTTTCCAACTAGAGGTTAATGGAAATGAGCTTGACATTGCAGACAGGGATAGAGACACAGTTGCACTGCATGCTGTCACCAGAGGTGTGGGCTTCTCAATGGACAGTTGCAATTAAATGCCTTTATAATGGATTGTATTCAAGATTTTGGTGGCTCTCAAATACCCCCCTTTACCCCACCCATATAAACACACCAGTAAAAAGACAAATGGAAAACAACAAAGCAAAAATGCTTCTTAGAGAGTATAGCCCTTGACAAAGTTAAAGAATTTTGTCTTATAAACAAAGTTTTAAGGCAGTTTATGTGAGTAATTTTCCAAATTTAGTAATGAGAGGTAAGCACTGGAAACTTAAGGTTATACATCATTTTAACCTTAAACAGGAAAATTTGTCTTTGACAAGAATGTCATAGAACATATATTTTCCCCATGGCAGCTTGGTTGTTTCTTCTTTCTTCTTCTTCTTCTTTTTTTTTTTTTAAACTTTATGACACAGAGTCACACTGTGTAGCCTTATCTGTCCTGGAATTGGCTGCACAATATAGGCTGGTCTAAAACTCAGAGATCCACCTGCTTTTGCCTCCCAAATTCTGGGGCTAAAGGTGTGCACCACTATGCCAAACTTTTCAATTTGAGTTTTATCAGTGGTATCTCAAATTTTCTGCTTTTATTAGCAAAAAGAACCAACGAGACTATGGGGGCGGGGGAGGGCTTAGTTTGTTTTTCATAATTTTCTCTTTCTAGTCTGTTTTAATTTGAACATATTCAACTTAGTCCTAACTTAGCTTTGAAATTCAGTAACTTAGGTGTAGTAGTCATTTTCAATTTATGAACTCATTTCAGTGTGAGTTTATGGAAGCAAATATTACCAAATTTGAAGAACATCTGTATTTACTGGAGGATAGTGTTCAGGGCATTGTAGAAAATATTTGAGTAAGTTAAAAAAGCTAAAACTAGTCCAGATGACTGGAATTAGCCACATACTCACAGAAAAGTCATATTTGATGATGAGACCTACGACACACCTGAAAAAAAAATACAGTTCTGGTCAGGGGAGACAGCTGTGGATAAAGTACTTGCCATGCAAGTGAGAGGACTTGTGTTAAAAAAACCAAAAAAACAAAGACTGGATGTAGCAATGCACAACTGTAATCCCAGTATTCCTATGACAAGATAGGAGATGGAAGCAGGAGAATCCCCAGAAGTTCACAGTGCAGCTCTCATTTGCAGCAGAAACAAGAGAGTCCCCTGCCTCAATCAAGATGGAACATGAAGACAACCAAAGCTGTCCTTGGACCTACACACATGTCCTGTGGTATATGCATGTTCACACACAGAGATTTTTAAAAAAGTAAACAGTTCTCAATTAGTAGCAGGGACCAAGACCAAACAGACAAATGGAATCCAAAACATTCTGTACATATCTTTAAAAAATTTTAAATTGAATACATTTTGCAAACTGAAAAAAATTCCTGTCTTTGAACTAATGACATCATATTAGTCAGGGTTTTCCAGAGGAATGAGATGAAGAAAATTATTATAGAAGGCTTTTACTAGACTGTCATACATGATAGGGACTGATGATCATTGCTGGCTGCACACCAGAGAAGCAGAAAAGTTGGCAGCTGCCCACCTCAAGAAGCTAACCGCCTCAGGAGTCCCAGTCTGAGGCTGAAAGACTGGAAATGCCTGGAGAGTCACTTGAATTGAGTCCATGTTGAGAAGAAGAAAATAGAGTCTAGTATCAGCAGAGATCGTAGGAGCATTAATAGATGCACTCAGACCGAAGGGAAGGCAGGCATGTTCCTGCTGCTTTTTCCCCGAGACTTCCTCTGGGATGCTGTTGGAAGTTGTTGTCTACATTAAGTGTGGGTTTTCCCCTTCAAGTCATTGTCCCACATGTCACTCCTCCTGTGGAAATTTCCCCACCAAAATGTAGAGGTGCATTTCACTAGCCAAGTGGACAATGAAGACCAACCATTCCAAGTCCTTTATGAACTTGATACCCAACAACATCCTATGTTATACACCGTTTCTAAATAAGACAGTAATGTATTTTACCTAACATAATTCTCATGTACAACTGAAAACACATTGTTTCCTTAGAATAGGTGTCAAAGTCCCTTTAGGAAAGCTTATTCATTTACTATATCACAATTAAATATGACAATACATAGCAATACCCAATATCGGCATTAACTCAATAAATATATTACATGGTAAAGAAAGAGATGAAAGAAAACATGACCAGTTGCTTAATATATGTGTGCATATGTCTTAGCTTCATTTCCTGTTGTAGTGACAAAATAGCCAGGTAAAAGCAACATAAAGAAAAAGGGGTTTGTTTAGCTCAGAATTCCATCACTGGGGGGAAAGTCAACATGGCAAAAACTTGGGGCATCTTCTCACATTACTTCCACAGTCAAAAGCAGAGAGCAATGAATTAATGCATGCATGCTTGTGCTCAGCTAGCTAACTTTTTCCACTTTTATACACTCCTGGGTCCCAGTCAAGGAATGGCACTTCCAGAAGTGGGGTGAGTCTTTCTACCTCATTTATGCAATCAAGATAATTGCTCACAGGCAAGCTCAGGGGCCCATCTCACAGGTGCTTCTAGATTTTTTTAAGTTGCAATCAACAATAACCATCACATTATAAAAATAAACATATATTTTTTTTGTTTGTTTTTGAGTCAGGGTCTCATTATGCATCCCTGGCTGTTGTGGAATTCACTATGTAGACCAAGTTGGTTTTGAACTTACAAGGACTCATCTGCCTTTGCCTACTGAGTGCTGGGATTAAAGGCATATGCCCAGCACACATATTTTTAACAAAATAAGACAGAAAACAATTGGAATCCTCACTTTTGTGAGGTCTCACAAGTGTACCATATTTATTAAGTATCTTTTCTGGTGTCATTTTGTATTTCCTCATCTTCAGTAAGCACTAAGCATCTTGGTTTTAAAATTTTTAATTTAAATACATTTTAGTATTAAAAAACCTTGTAAATAAAAACACCATACACCCAAATTAGCTAATTCTTTACCTTGAGAAGTAACTCTCAATTTCATTCTTGAAGTATCTGAGCCATTTATTACCTTGTTTGGACTGAGTTGTAGCTTCCTATGGGTTTTGATCACCAGACTTGGTAATATTAAGGGAATCCAAGAATAGTCTTCCTTTCCTCTTGTCCTAGTTTGATTTGTTGCTGTTGTTGCTAAAACACTGACCAAAAACAAGCTGAGGAGAAAGGGGTTTGTTTTGGATTACACTTTATAGTCCAGCACTGAGAAAGCCAGGGTAGAATCTCAAGGCGGGAACTTAGAAGTAGGATTTGAAGCAGAGACCATGGAGGAAGACTAATTATTAGTTTGCTTCTTATGGCTTGCTCAGCCTGCTTTCTTATACAACACAGGACCACTACCTAGGAGTGGACCACCCACAGTGGCCCTGTCACATCCATCACAAATCAAGAAAATCCTCATAGACTTGCTTACAGTCAATCTAATGGAGGCAATTCCTCAATTGATGTTCTCTGTTTCCAGATAACTCTAACTTGTATCAAGTAGTAAAAAATAATTAGCACATCTCCATTGCTGAATTGTAGTCTCATCCCGCCCCCCCCCCCCCACGTCAATACTGTTTTTAGTTAACTCAAGGGTACAAAGAACCTAGAGTAAACCAGGGGTAGGTTGGGGTGTGTGTGGGTCTCTTAGCTCTCAGTTCAAAGGAATGGTTGTTCCTCCCAGTGGAAGGACATCCCTTTGTTGAACCATAAGACCAACAGAACAGGAAGCAAACATTTTGCTAGTAAGTTCCAAGGATGATTCCCCCTCTTCTCCCTTGACTTCTAGACTCAGGAGAAAAACAGTATCATATTAGTTGACAATTTAGAGCAAATCTATCCTTCTGGAGAACCTTGCCCTAGTACTGTAAGCTATTGCCAACTCACTTGTGCTATAGCTACATCGCAAAAGGCCATTCCACCATTCAATCAATCAAAATTCTTCAGACTGGTAGGGAAAATGGTAAAAAAAAAAAAAAAAAAAAGATACTACCTATTAACCCTTGCCCCATTACTTAAGCAAACTTCAGAGAATTATGCCATGCCACCAATCTATTTTAATAATAAACTAATGAGTGTAATACAATTTTTAGAAAATTTCTTCCAGGATATGTAATTTTTGGAGCATTGAACCTTTCATAATGCACATTTGTAGTACTCCACTACTTGAAGAATTTTCAGAATTTTAAAACTATTTCTTACAATCAAGTTTCTGATGTTTCTGTACAAGTTTTGATATTGAGTGCATTCTTAGTTTGTTCTTTATGTTTGTTAATCTAATAATATGACTAATGGCAGCCCTCACAACTTCATATTCAGTCTTGTTTTCTTCCGTAAACAGTCATGTTATTTATAGAAGGGACATGCAATAAGGAGGCCTTTCAACATTCTATGCTTAAGAATTCTCTCTAGTATGGGTCTTTTCATGTATTCTAAGGGAACCACAACGAGTGAAGGCTTTCCCACACTGCTTACATATGTAGGGCTTCTCACCAGTATGAATTTGCTCATGTCTTTGACAATCACCCAAAGCAGGAAAGGCTTTCCCACACTGCTTGCATGCATAGGGTCTTTCTCCACTGTGAATCCTTTCATGGCGTCGAAGGGAACTGTAACCACTAAAAGCTTTCCCACATTCCTTACAGTCATAGGGTTTTTCCCTAGTGTGAATCCTTTCATGTCGTTGAAGAGAACTCTGTATAGTGAAGGCTTTACCACATTCCTTACACTTATAGGGCTTCTCTCCAGTGTGAATTCGCTCATGTATTCGAAAGGTACCAGAAGAGATGAAACCTTTCCCACACTGTTCACAGACATAGGGTTTCTCACCACTGTGAATTCTTTCATGATTTCGAAGGGAAGTACGAGTAGTGACAGCTTTATTACACAAGTTACAAACATAGAGTTTCTCTCCAGTGTGAGTCCGTTCATGTACTCGACAGGTACTTGAAGAAATGAAACACTTCCCACAGTACTTACATACATAGGGTTTCTCTCCACTGTGAATTCTTTCATGTCGTGGAAGTGAACTTTGACCAGTGAAAGCTTTCCCACAATACTTACAAACAAAGGGTTTCTCTCCACTGTGAATCCTGTCATGTCGTCGAAGGGAACCACGACTAGGGAAGGCTTTCCCACAATGGTTACATATGTAGGGTTTCTCACCAGTATGAGTTCTTTCATGTCTTCGAACCTTACTGGAAGAAGAAAAGGCTTTTCCACATTGCTGACATTTATATGGCTTCTCTATGGTGTGATTATATTCATGCTTTAGAAAGCATTCAGGATACATGAAGGATTTCCTAGATTCCCTAAATTTATAGAGACTGTCTCTGTCTTCATATATCTCATATTCATATGGTTTATGTCCTGTTTGAATGGGGTTATGCATATTTAGGGGTGGAAGACCAATAAGTATGTTTTCACATAAATTACTTTCACACAGTTTTACTCCATGAGGGGTTTTCTTGTTCACAACAGTAACTGGAAACTGGCTGAAGATTTCCTCACATTGTCTCCCTTCACTGGGTTCATACAATAATTCCACCACTTCATTTCTGTAAAGAGTAGAAGGCACATTACTTAAATTTTGTTTATAAGTTACCGGTCAGGAGAACTGTTTCTATTTTGCAGCATCAGAATTCTTTAACATTTTTTATTTTTTAAAAAATTTTAAGTTTTTTTTTGAGACAGGGTTTCTCTGTGTAGCTTTGCGCCTTTCTTGGAACTTACTCTGTAGCCCAGGCTGGCCTCGAACTCACAGAGATCTGCCTGCCTCTGCCTCCCAAGTGCTAGGATCAAAGGTGTGTGCCACCACCACCTGGCCCAGAATTCTTTAACATGAAGGGGCTAAATGTTTTACAGGATTTCTAGAGGCTATCTATATGTGAAGATACTGGTATTTATAGATGTTAACATGTTTACCAAGTAAACTATTCTGCAAACACTGAATGCTCATGTCATTATGATTGTTTATTTACTTATTTTTCATTATTCATTTGTGATGGAGTCTTGCTTCTTGATGTAATGGTTAAGCTGGTCCTGAACTCATTACCATTTACTGCTATAATTGTAATTAGTCAGTCCTCAAGGTGTCTCTTTTTAAACCTTCTTTAAACAAAATGCTTCCAGAAAAACTTTGGGATTTTGAAATATTTGCATATATACATGCTATTTTGAAGATGAGAACCAGTGATCAGTGTAAAGAAAAGATTCCTTCAAACTTTAAATTATTACTGGACAAGCAGGGAGAGGGCTGTGTGAAGGTCAGAGGAGAACTTTGTGGTGTCAGTACTCTCCTTCTACCTTTATTTGGGCTCTGGGAGATGAATTCAGGTTGTCAGCCTTGGGCAGCAAAGAGCCTTTACCCACTAAATCATCTTGCTGGCCTTTTCTTCAATTTTTTTAAATACACCTCACACTCAAAGCCTAAAGATAATGTCATACACTTTTCACTTTTATTATTTATTTAAACTTAAAAAATATTTCCTTTGTATTTACAACAAACTTTAAAGATCTGTTTTATTTTTAAATGTGTGTGTGTGTGTGTGTGTGTGTGTGTGTGTGTGTGTGTGAATGTAGGTATGTGCACATAACTGTGGTACCTGTAGAGGCAAGAGCTCAGATCCACTGGAATTGGATAGAGTACAAGGATGCTGGGAATGAACCAAACTCAGGTTCTGTTCAAGAACAGTACTGGTGATCTTAATCCTCAACCCCCTACATCTATTTATCTATCTATCTATCTATCTATCTATCTATCTATCTATCTATCTATCTATTGTGTGTGTGTGTGTGTGTGTGTGTGTGTGTGTGTGTGTGTGGTTATGGGTGAGTGAGTATGCATGTTCCACTACCTCAATGTAGATATCATAGGATAACCTGCAAGAGCTGCTTCTCTTGATTCACCGTATGTGTTCCGAGGAAGGAACCCAGGTCATTAGGCTTGGTGGCAAGCACTTTTCCCTACTGAGCCATCTCATGGTCCTTATTGTGAGTTATATGATAAATGTATGTATGTGTGTGCATATGCGCATTAGAAAGTCAAGTGAGAATACCAGGTATCCTCTTTTACAACTTTCAATCTTATCCCCTTGATACAGGGATGTTTTATTGAATCTGAAACTCATGCTATCTTTCTCACCCTCCCAGCTAGGCTGATAGCCAGGAAGCCCCAGGGATAGTCCAGTTTCCACTTTTTTTTTTTAAATGTGTGTGCTGGGGATCACTGAATTCAAGTATTAATGCTTACACAGCAAGTGTTCTTACCACTTGACCCATCTATCTGTCCAGACCACATAACTTCCAATAATTTTGAACTTGAAACCAATTTTGTGTATAATAGATTATCAGAAAGTCAACTTATCATCTTGATGGTGTATTACATGTCACCAATCCTCTATGAAATTTTATAAAATTATTTGAGATAAAATTATTTTGAAGTTGGGCATATTTGTTTGGTTGACCTATTTTTAAAATTTCTAGTCATTTCTATATTCTTGAAAAATTTCCCTCTGTGTACAAGTGCTTTACTTGTCTGTCTGTGTAACACCTACATACAGTGCCTGAGGAGGTGAGAAGAAGGTGTCCAATCTCCTGGGACTGGAATTATAGATGGTTATGAACCACCATGTGGGTGGGTGTTGACAGTCTAATCCTGGTCCTCTAAAAGAACAACCAGGGCTATTAACTATTGAGCAATCTCTCTACCTTTGATTCCCATATGCTTGAGCAACATTCTTCTTATTTGGAGGGACAGATTACCTTAGGTTTCTCCTAAAATGTTCATCATCTTCAATCCTCAGGCCTTCCTCAGTTTGCCCTAAAATGCAGAGCCAGAAAAAATCATTATGAAGTCTATAATATTAACTTCTGTAAGTTCATGATACAACTTATCTATGCCTGGTATATTCACCACGTGTCACCCTTGGTATTCACTGAACAGCACTGGTAAGACAAATTTGTTCTCTCATTGTTAAGTGAGGAAATAACCTCATCCTTACCTATAGCAACAAGGTTTTTGAAGGTTTCCTGCATCACATCTGTGTAGAGTTGCTTCTGGGAAGGATTCAACAAATCCCATTCCTCCAAGGTGAAGTTCACAGCCACATCCTCAAAAGTTAGACAGTCCTAAAACATCCCACATCAGGAGGAAGAGTAAGATTCATAGCATTGCAATGTAGATGCACTCTGTATGAAGTTCACAGGGTGCTGTGTCCTTCAAAGGTCATGACACTCTTTTTCACCATACATACTCTCTCCCTCTTACCCAGCAATTCCTGTATTGAATTGGAACTCTTTTAAATAAATAACAGGGCAGCAACAGGAACACCAATTATGTTACTGGACCCATCTGTACTTGATATACATGGATTATCACAACAGTCCTGCCATTTAGTACACACATAGCTAACACTAGCTATCCTTACTCAGTCCACATAGTCTTAGAAATGACTGAAACCAAAGTTTGATTTTTGCTGGTTTCTAGATTTGATTTGAGTTTTGCTGGTTTTTGCTCTTGGGGTGGATCTCAGCAGAGGTTGGGAGTTAAAATATTCCCATAGAGTTTCTGTACACAATGTGCTATTAGCTTAATTCCTGCTTTCCCTCTAAATGCTTGAAAATTTCCAGTATGTTCACCAGAGGGAGACTATTTGATCATCCTCAAAGTGTCATCTGGAAGATGAATCTTTATTGAGCTAGTCTGATGGTATTTATCACTTTTTGTCGTAACCTGTTATTTATGGAGTTCAATATATTTATTGTGCCCGCACTAAGAGAAAACCAGTTACACCTGGTTTCTTAAAAAGTAACCACAGGAATTCCAGAGAGTAATTTACTAAGGTAATAACATTACTTAAGAAAAATGGATAGTGCCCAAAACAATGAAATAATAGGAATAGTGTCACAAATTTTAGATGGAACTCAATGAGTTCAAGGTAACTCTCCACACCCCACACCCTGCCCAGAAAAGGTTACTTTTTTTATTCAAGTAACTGCAAATATGGCGAGCCCTAGGTGGGACAAATACCAGCCGCCCCCCCAGAACAAGGGGAGAAGGTGGTCCGTATATACTTTTCCCATCAAAGTGGGCCCTTCTCACTACTCTGCTCCAGTATTAAAGTGGCAGAGCCCCATCTTCCCTGGGGTGGGTAGTAACCAGCTTGCTGCTCCCCAGGCCCCCTTCCCTGAAGTGTCGGAGAGGAGAATGCAGTCAGAACAGGAGGATAAACATTTGTTGCTTGCGGCAGAAGCAATGGTGGTATCTAAGAATGAGCATGGGACAAAAAACAATTCAACTGTCCAGAGGTAGTTTGTGAACAGAGGAAAAGATGGAACCAGAACCTGGGGGGAGGGCAGGGAGGAGCAAAAGAAGAAGGGGCAAGGCTAGTTCTTTAGTGCCCCACTGGAGGAAGTAAAATAGTGTGGATTGGAAACAGGAGTGGTGAGTAGTAACCCACCTGCCTTAGGTGGAATCCAGAGAATAGGACCTCACCCTGGAGTCTGGTGGTAACGCCTATCTGTCACTGCATTAGGTCTCTGTCTATCCCATTTAAAAACAAAACAAAACAAAACAAAAACCTTACTTTATTTTTAATTGTTTGTGTGTTGTGTGCACAACACACACACACACACACACACACACACACACACACACACACACACACACACTCGTACGTGGAGGGGCACATGCATTTGAGTGCAGGTGCCTAAGGAGGCTAGAGAAATAGGACTCCACTGGAACTGGAGTCTCAGGCCATTTGGAGATATCTAACGTGCATATGGGAATCAAATGAGTCTTCTGCAAGAGCAGTATGTGGTCTTATCTGCTGAGCCATCTCTCCAGCACCTATCCTATTTTTTTATTATGTTTATATCTCATTAGTTTTTTTTTTCTTAATAAAGTAAATAATTTTGGGGCTGCAGAGATTCCACAGTGGTTAGAGTACCTCCTGCTCTTGAGGAGAATGAGTTTGGTTCTCTGCATCTATATTGGAAGGTCACAACCACCTATAACTTCAGGTCCAGAGATTCTGACACCCTCTTTGGCCTCCACAGGCATTTGCACAAATGTGTACATACAAACATGCTGACAAATACATACATATAAATAAAAAATAGATCTTAAAATCACTTCCTTTTTTTTAGTCTTTAATAGGAATTTCTCTTTCCTTTGTCATTTTTCAGCGTTTCCTTTCTTTTGTGATGTTGGGAATAAACTCTATCAAAGAGCTAAATCTCCAAGCCCTTCCTCTCATCCAACTGTTTTATTTCTATTTTCCTTCTTCATTCTACTTTTTACTATTCTTTATTTACTGAGTTTTTTTCCCCCCTCTACTGGCATTTAAACCAAGGGCTTCATACATGCAGAAGAAGCATTCTACCACTGAGTTGTACCCATGACCCTCTTTTTACTTTTTATTTAAGTCAAGGTCTCACCAAAATATATAAGTTGACCTAAACTCACTCTGTAAGCCACACTGGGTTTGAACATGCATCATTTATTCCTCAGATTCTGGAGCAGCTAGGGTTAATGGATATGGGAACCAAATGAGTCCTCTGCAAAAGCAGGATATGCTTTTAATTGCTGAGCTATCTCTCTAGCCCAGCAGTATCTTTTAAAATAAGTTTCTTCTGCTTTCATATAGAACCACATTGGATTCCCAGCTGACAACTATCTGCAACTCTAGTCACAGGGGATCCAACACCCTCATCTAGCTTCTGGGGGGTACCAGGCATGCACATAGTAATTAAAACCTTAAATGTAATGTTAACCATTACAGTGTTACACAGACAGGCATGCTACAAACACACTTTTAGCAAAACACTCATACACATGAAAAAATCCAAAAGATTGAAGCTTACTTATGAAACATAGCAGAAAATTGCCTAGATTTTGGAAATAACATACACACTCAGGCACTAGAGATATTTAGAAAAACAGACACGGAACAGAAAAGAATCAACACATTACAGTTAAATTATCAGAGTACAGTTCAAAGAAAGAATATTAAAATCTGCAAGAGAGAACAGTGACAAGCACATTTAAAGACAAAGTTATTACAACAGCAGCAGATTCCTTAGCAGAAATTCTATAGGCCAGGAATACATACACAGATGTAATTCAAATCCCGGGGTGGCAGGGGGAAGCAAATCAAATCAACACAAAACACTATGTGCATGCACGCGCACGCGAATGCACATATACACTTGTCAATCAATTTTGCTATATACATAAGATAAATATAACCTAAAGGAATTCATGAACTACTGCATCAGTATTACAGATTCCTAAGGTATTATTTAAACACCATTTCTAGGATGCAGAAAAAGCAATGTGAATTAAAAGTCTTGAATACAAAACTGGCAATAGTGGTGCACTCCTTTAACCCTAGCACTTGGGAGGCAGAGGTAGGTGGATCTCTGTTCGGTTGAGGCCAGGCTGGTCTGCAGAGTGAGTTCTAGGACAGCCAGAGTTATACAGTGAGACCCTATCTCAAACAAAACAAAGTAGTCAATGTATACACTAAAAAAAGATCTCAATTCAATCTTTTAACATTCACTTCCAAAAATCAGCGAAATAGAAACAAGATAATCTTTAATAAAGGAGAGGAAAATAACAACTGAATATATAGATGAAATCATAATTTCCAAATCAATAGAGGAAATTACCAAAACTAAAAGCAGATTCTTTGGAATTATTCACAATATAGAAATCTTATTTAGATAAGCTAAATAAAAGACAACACAAGTTGGGCACAATGTTTCACACATCATCTTAGCACTCTTGTAAGCTAAGGAAGGAGGACTGCTGTGAGTGTGAGGTCAGCTCAGGCTACATAGTGAAATACTGTCTCAGATAATATTAATAATAATAAAGACAACATACAAATCACTAACAACAAGAACGAAAATTATGCCCCTACTAATACCATAGACGTTAAAAGAACCAGAGAGTAGTGTTAAGAACCATTCCATCCTCAATTTTAATAACTTGAATGAAAGAAACTAATTCTGGGAAGAAACACTACAAAAGCTCACATAAGGTATTAGTGGAGCTTATGAAAAGGGCACTGCAGTAATAAATAACTGTCCAAAGCAGGAAGGATAAGCCTCACATGTTCTCAATGATTTATTCTACTTAGCATTTAATGAATGAAAATATGACATCAAACATATATAATCTCTTCCACAATATCTAAGTAGCAGTAACACTAATTCATGTTATTTAGAGATCCATATTACTATTATATAAAAACCAAAATGAAAAAAAGTCATAAAGCCTAGTATAGTGGTGCACACCTTTAATCTCAGCACTTGGGAGGCAGAGGTAGGTAGATATTTGTGAGTTCAAGGCCAGCCTGGTCTACAAAGTGAATTCCAGGAGAGCCAAAGCTGTTACATAGAGAAACCCTGTTTCCAAAATCCATAAATTAAAAAAACAAAACCAGGAAGCTGGCACAAGAAATACAAACCCATAAATTTCTCCAGATAAAAAGATGAAAAAATAAATAGTAAATTCCATTTTTTAATATATATAGAGAATTATACCCAATAACTAACTTGGAGTTATTGTAAACATGTAAAATATTTAAAAACCAAGAATATAGTCCATCATCTCAACAAGCTAAAGAATAAAAATCTAGGGATGAAGAGATAGCTCAGCAGTTAAGAGCTCACTTTAGTCTTGCACAGCACTCAAGTTCAGTTTCTGGTACCTATATTGGGCAGCAAACAACTGCCTGTAACTCCAGCTCCAAGGGGCCCAACACCTCTTGCCTCAGCAGGCCCTGAACCCATATACAGACAAACACCACACACACACACACACACACACACACACACACACACACACACACTCTAAAAATAAAGCCAGGTGTGGTGGCATAAGCTTTTGATCCCATCACTCAGGATGCAGAGGCAGGTAAATTTCTAAGTTTGAGGACAGCCTGGCCTACATAGCCAGTTCTGGGACAGCCAGGGCTACAGAGAGAAACACTGTCTCCAACCCCCACCCCAAAATAATAATAATGAAAATAAATCTTTACAAAGAATAAAAATCCTATGGTCATATCAATGTGCTGAGAAAACATAAGGCAAGGAAGAAAAGAAGGAAGGGTGATAAGGAACAGGTAAGTCTCATCCCCCTCATAACCCCTTAAAAATCAACAGAAATTCCCTGCTCCAATTCTTGGAGAAGAGAGGGCTACACAGTGCTGCCTGAAGCTCACTAAAGTCAAGACAAGAGGGCAAAGGGAAAACAGGAGCTGAAGGAGATAACAATGGAGAGCCACAGTTTTGTCCTGAGGTAAAGGCCAACAGAAGCATTCTGAGACCAGTATAACTGAGTGCTGGGATTAAAGGCATGCGCCACCACTGCCTGGCCTCACTATTATGTTTAATACTAGACAATTAAGTAGATTATCTGAAGTGTTGTCAAATCACACAATACACATCTATGAAAATGAAATGATAAATTAAACTACAAAATTTCCTGCTAAATTTGAATCTACTCATAGTTGAGAAATCACCTACATTTCCCACTGTGTAAGGAAAAAAAATGCAGAGGAACAAAATAATATTATGACCATCACCAAATAAACACAAATAAGCACCAAAATAAATACAGAACAAGCCCAATATAACAAGCAGAGAAATGGAGTGAGCTGGTTTTATTATAAATTTAGCTCCCAATACCAACATAACTGCTAGAGACTTTAACAAAGAAACCACGATTGTTAAAACCGTATTAACTGCACTATTATTTCATACAAAATTCAAAGGAGGTGAAACCAAATGAAATGTGGCTAGTGACAGTTTGTAAAACTGTTTAAAAGGAAAAATAGAAAAGAAAAAGAGAAATCCCTGCATTAGTAAACTCTATGTAAGGAGCGGAAGGAAATCAAAGTGAGTCTCTGGAAATGACCATGGCCTATTTATTCACCAGCAGGGTGACTGCATGGGAATATACATGCTGTCATTCAAAGTGATTATTAACCTTATTTTAAGGAATCCCTTGGAGGCAGGTGGTGGTGGAACATGCCTTAAATCCCAGCATCTGGGAGGCAGAGGCTGGTGGATCTCTGAGTTTGAGGCCAGCCTGGTCTACCGAGCTCATTTCTAGGACAGCCAAGGCTACCAAAAAAATCCTGTCTCAGGGCAGGGGGTGTGGTGGGGGTGGGGAGTGGGGCGGATTTCCTTGGACTATAAAGATGGTTCAGCAGATGAAAGTGCTTGCCAAGAAAACCTGGTGAACTGAATTTAATGTCTATACCTCTGTGAAGGTAGGAGGGGAGAATTGCCTTCACAAACATCCTCTATCCTCTGATTTCCTTACTTCTTCAGACCCCAGCTTTCTATCCACTCAGGATCTTACCAAGAACATCACCCACTTTTTGTGGGGGGAAGTACAGGAGAGAGTATTGAGACAAGGTCTTGCTCTGGAGCACTTGCTGAACTTGACTTTACTATGTAGATAAAACTGTCCTCAGCCTCATGACAACATTTCTGCCTCCACTTTCTAAATGCATGGTTTGTAAGTGTGTGCCCACACATAGGCTTATATATCACCATTTTATACTCAAATCATGAAAGAAATTAAAAAGATGTTATTGTAAACTGTTACTCTATAGAAACACAATTCTACAAGGAAAACAAAAGATGAGATCAGAGAAATAGCCTGTTTCACCCCCAGTTCACAAGGATGAACCCATCTCTAAGCTTAGAAACCATGGTCACTGGCTGGGCAGTGGTGATGCATGCCTTTAATCCCAGCACTTCAGAGGCAGAGGCAGGTGGATTTCTGAGTTCAAGGTTAGCCTGGTCTATACAGTGAGTTCTAGGACAGCAAGGACCCTCTTGAAAAACAAACAAAAAAACTAAAAGAAAACAAAACAAAAAAGAAACCATGGGGGCTGGAGAGATGGCTCAGCAGTTAAGAGCACTGACTGTTCTTCCAGAGGTCCTGAGTTCAATTCCCAGCAACCATATGGTGGCTCACAACCATCTGTAAAGAGATCTGGTGCCCTCTTCTGGCCTGCAGGCGTACACGCAGGCAGAACATTGTATACATAATTAATAAATAAATCTTTAAAAAAAAAAAAAAAAAAAAAGAAACCATGGTCACTACATAGGTGTAGACCAGGGTGCTTCACTTCTAGTAAATCATGAAACCCTGAGCATCTAGGAAACTTCATTCTGGAAACTGCACCCAACTTCCCCCACTTCTCAGTGTTAATAGCTTCTTTCCTGTACAAAATCAATTCAGAGGAGTGGCCAAACACACACAGATGAGGATTCTCAATTGTGCTGGCATTTTATGACATCAGTGTCATTAACAGATTCTCCAATACCAGTAAGATGTCCTACAATTCAATTCTGACAGCTACACTTGGCACAATCCCGAGAAGTTCCAACCAATAAGGTGGCTCAGTAGGTGTAAAGAGGCCTGCCCCTAAGTCTAAAAGATCTAAGTTGGAACCATGGAACCCACATAGTGGAAGAAGAGAACAAACTCCCTGAACATGGTCCTCTGACCTATGAATGTTGTGACACATATGCTTATACACACACACAGAGCTAGAGCGAGAGCGAGAGCGAGAGCGAGAGCGAGAGAGAGAGAGAGAGAGAGAGAGAGAGAGAGAGAGAGAGAAAAGAGAGAGAGAGAGAGAGAGAGAGAGAGAGAGAGAGAGAGAGAGAGAGAGAAAGAGAGAGAGAGAGTAATGTTAAGGGTTGCAGTGATAAGAGAGAGAGAGTTCAGTGGTTAAGAGCACTTGCTGCTCTTAAGGAAGACCCAGGTTTGGTTCCCAGCACCCACATGGTGCCCCACAACCATAACTCCAGTTCCAGGTGATCTGATGCCACTGTGGGCAATGGCCTCACATGTGACATACATACATATATACATGCATACTTATATACTTAAAATATAAATAAATGAATAAATGAATTTAAAAAAATCCTGACAGGCTTATGGCTCAATTCCACTACACCGTTTCCACTGCAGATAATAGTCCAAAGTACCTGTTTACTCTGTCTGATCCCTGTCCTCATCCTAAAGTGATCAAAGGGTGGTACTCTAAGTGTCTCATTAGCATGAGGTCAAATGTTGCCTGAAAGGTTTAGCTAAGAAGAAAAGATGCGTGCATGCTTTTAAATCCCAGCACTCAGGAGGTAGGTAGACTGCCATGAGATCCAGACCTCCTGATCTACATAATGAGTTCCAGGTCAGCCAGCCAAGAATACATAGTGAGACCCCGTCTCAGAAAAATATTAATTAAAAAAATAAAAAGAAAAGAAAAACAATCCAAAGACATTACTATGTCCTAGATAGAATCTGGGACACTAACAGACTTTTAAGATTATTCATAAATACACTGCGAAAATGATCCTTTTCTTGAGGTAATTTTCCCTCAGACTGCTCAATACAGACATTCGGACAAGGTACAAATCATACTCTGACTATACTGCATGCCACTTGCCCGGTAGAAAAGAGAAATGGCTGAAGTTGATGAGTTTTACCCAAACATGTAATCCTGGAAAACAGCAATTACTGACCTTCCCTCTCACAATACTTTCTGTACTTTAGAAACATTTCCCTCCCTTACATTTAGATGATGTTACTTCCAGGCCTGACCCTTTAAATCTATGACCAGTCCAGACAAAAACCGTACAAATGCCCATTTGTCATATGCTTGAGAGATGGCTCAGTTGTTAAGAGTACTGGCTTCTCTTCCAGAGGAACTGAGTTTGAGTCCCAGCACCCACAAGGCAGCTCATAACCATCTTTGTAACTCTAGTCCCACGAGGATCTTCTGGTCTCTGTGATCACCAGGTGCACATGTAGTGCACATACACATACACAGGCAAAACACTCATACACATAAACAAAATTTTAAAAAAGAAAAACCCAAATGCTCACATGTCCCAAAAATATATGGTTGAGTTGAACAGAGAAAACAAAATACTTATTAAGCAAACTTTCTGGAATGATTTGTTCTTTCTCCAACCAAGCTTCTTCTTTCACATCTGCTATCTCCGACCCACTCTCAGCAAAAATCAGCAAACCACCTTTCCATGACAGTCACCCAAAGAACAGGATGACCTAAGGGGAAAGTGCCTCATCCCTCCCCTTTCACTTTTTCTACTCCAATTTATTTGGAAATAGTAACGTTAAGCTCCCTTCTGCCTAATTACTGGAATGCACGGAGGATTTAAGAGCTGGGACTTAATGCTATTGCAATACTTTTTACAATCAAGTCTTCCTCCAATTAGGATGTAATCTTAAAACCACTGTCAACGAAAGAACGGTCAGCCTGGGCTACAGAGTGAGTTCCAGGAAAGGCACAAAGCTACACAGAGAAACCCTGTCTCGAAAACCCGCCCCCCGCCCCCCCCCCCCCAAAAAAAAGAAAGAACGGTCAAAGGACAATAACAATGACGTCAGAGAGGAGAGCAAGTTTTCTCCTACTCCAACAGCACAGTTACATTGGATTCTTTCTAATGAGTTGGGCAGTATGAGGAAACGCCTGGATACATGGAGATTTATTTTCCATACAGTATTGAGCTGCATGGGGAAGGTCATAGAGTTCAGATGTCCTTTCCCAGGAATTGGAAAGACTCGCCATAAAACTACTGCCACAGAACACAGAGATGGGGACCCAGCACCGCAGCAGCTCCCACCCACGGTCCCACATAAAGGCAAAAGCTTCCTCCAGGACCCTATGGCTGTCACCATAATGTGAGGGAATCTGGCATAGCGTGGGCTGAGCTGTAGACAGGAAACCTGGTCTCAGTGCAGCTGAGTCCCGCTCACCTAGTCTCAGTACAACGGGAGTCCCATCGTCCAGAGAGCAGAGGGACTGAATGCTCCCGCGAGCTCCAGTGTGCCAGCAGTGTCGGGCAGAACCGCCCACCTCACATACCCGCCTCACGCTCACCATGTCTCCGCCGGGGGCCTCCTGCGGCCTCACGGCTCCTGGGGTAGAAGCTCTCCCTGCTACCGAGGCTGAGACCCACAAGACTTCCTTAGCTGACAGAACCTCTGTGCTACTATGGCCGGCGCCAGAAAGAAAGATGGCGGGTAAAGAACTTCCGCCCCGCCCACCAGCACTCATGAACTGACAGTTCCCACAAACTTAGGCACATCTTATACCTGCTTTCTAGGTTTCTAGCTGGCCTGAGGCCTGCTTCTGGTTGACCATTAGAACTAAATGGTAGGACTCTAATGCTGACGACAACACACCATTTGGTTGCAAAAACCAACCAACCAACCAACCAAACCCCAGAAAAAAATCAAGCCAGAACTTAGCAGCTGAGAGCAAAGTGTCCTAGCCAGTCGTGAATCCCGTAATCTACAATATCGACTGGTCAGTCAAGATGTGTCCTTGGTGTAAGAGTTGAATGGAAGGTATGGTTATAACAAACAAGTTTCTGATTTCATTTAAGACCTCTTTCCAGGAAGGGACTCAATGTGTGATAGTGTAAACTTGCTCAAAAGTCCATGGGTGGGGAGGTCATGGGCCCTGAAGGAGAACTGCTCTGTTGTTTTGTTATATGGATATAATGTCAAGCTGTCCTATAAATATTTACGTTTATACTCAGAGATTAGTGATGCAGTCAGAGAAGATTATCGCTGGCCAGACAAGCTTCTGTTTGCAGTGGGTGATGTTTAATACAGACACTTCTAAGTGGTCTACGTACTGAGAATAAGTGACTCTTGAATGCTCACCCCTTAACAGGATTCTGTGTCACCCATCCAAGGCTTGGAGAACATCACGAAAGGATAGAAAGAATACAAGTATTGGAGGATGGGAAGTAATATTGTGAATACTGTCTTCTGGACATGATACAGCTGTTGAGCTCATGAACTCACAGCAGTGTAGTTATCTGCACAAGACTTGCAGAAAATGGGGCCTCTCAACATTCCAGAATTAGGCCCCACCCTTCTAGAGGAACTATGAGGAATTAATGGTTTGCTGGGGAAGAAAGAATCATTATCTTCTGAGACATTGCCCATGCTTCAGAAAATAACTCTCACCCATGTACATTCAAGTAACCATAATTAAGGTCATAAGGTCACAAACAAACACAAAAAATAAAACAGAGTTGTAGTGGAACTTGCTGAAACCAGGGTTCAGCAGAAGTGGGATGGGGATGACCTAATGGTGGGTGAAAAAGATTAAAATATACAAAAATGAAATTGTAAAAAATATAAATAAGAAAAAAGAAAATAAAGGAATAGTAGTGGCCAGCATCTGAAGGAGATATGTCCTAAGACCTGCAGTGGAACATGAAAACAGTGGCTAGCAGTTAGCCTAATATATGTTTTTTTCTACTTATACATACGAGAAACTTTAATTTGCTAACTAGGCACAAGAAGAGATCTACAACAATATATAATAGGGAAACAGAACTATAGCAGTTTCTTTCTGTCTCAATATGTCACAGTACAGTGCATTCATCTTTCTTCTTGGGCTGATATGATGTCACATAGCTGCTATATAATGAGATTATATGAGGCGAATGTTGGACTTGCATTACTGTATATTTCATGACATTACTCAGAACTACCTACAACTTAAAAGTTATTAATATTTACCTCTAGAAATTTTCATTTAATGTTTTCAGATACCAGTTGGACTGAAACTGCAGAATCTATATTGCAAGCAAGGAAATATTAAAAGAAAGTTAGCTGAACTTGCTGGCCACACTGGGACAGTTTGACCAGAAGATACTGGCCATGCTCGAAGCCCACAAAACTTGGATAGACTTGTTGGGAACCCTTTGGGAGGTGAAGCAAATGCTTTAGTTGTCATGCATTGAGCAAATATCCTTGTGTCTGTCACAGAACTGTGTTGCATGGCTGCATGCTGGTGGCTCCATATCTCTGGGTTATCAATGGTGATCATTCTTCCACGGACCACCCATGCATGCACTGTACTGTTGAAGACTGCAACAGCTTCAACTCTACAAGTTGCCTGGGCCTTAGGAATGAGAGTCTTTCTGATAGCTCTGTTCCTACCATACAATTTTGCCTTGGCCTTAGGAACGCTGGAGAGATTTCTTGGAATATACATGGAGAAGTCTACCCTTTTCTCCAGCTTCTACACTCTGGAGACCTGGAGTATTAGAAACATACAGTTTGAGATTTGTTTGTGATTTCTCATCAGTAGACAGAAGGTAAGCACTGACTCAAGTACAGCAGGAAGAAACAGACTTATGGTGGCCTTAGTCTCAAGGTTAGCTGGTATCGTTAACCCCTTCCCCCCATGTTAAATTTTTCTGCATCAAGGGCATGACATCCCTATAATCTCAGCACTCAGAAGGCTGAAGCAGTACTATTATTTTGTGGCCCGCCTGGGTTATATGAGATACTGTCGTAAAATAAAACAAACAAACAAACAAAAAACACCACCACAAACAACATGAACAAAATAATCCATGCATTTGCAAATATGGGAAGGGGAGTTTTGAAAATCTCCATAATGCCTTCAAGGTCATTTTTCCACATCTTTCATGAATAGCACCAGGCTTCCTTCTAGCCAAATCTACTAGGTAAGGTGGATTGGACGCTACTTGCTGTTCTCAAAGTATACTATATTTATATTTTACATAGTTAGGCTGAGAATTTTCCAGATCTTTACTTTCAATTTCCCTTTTGATTACAGTAAGAGTTTTTATGTCCCTTTTTTCCTTATGCATTTCCTTAGAAGCCAGTTGTCAGGTCCAAAAACAACCTGGGACAAGTCTCACTCAGTACTGTGGCTCCTCCCAGCACCTCTCACACCACCCCCTATTCTAAATCTCTCCAGCCCAGGGGCTGGGCTTCCCTTCCCTTCCCCGAACTTCTGATCCTTTATAAACCAGCCATGCTGGCCACACACTCTCTTGGTTCCCATGTGCTCTCTTGGCCTCTTAGTTCCTTGCTGGCTCATCCTTTGTCTCTTTGTCCTTTTGGCTCTCTTTCTCTCTTCTCTTCCTCTCTTGATCTCCCCCTCCCTCCTTTTTCCTCTCATGGCCTGGTTCAGTCTGCACCCTTCCAGATGCCTCAGACTGAAATCTCCTTCATATCTACAATAAAATCCTTCTCCTCAACCACACCCTGGGGCAGTCATGTCCTCATTTTCACTTACTAGTAATGGAAGTCATGCAGTAACCCAAACAACAGCTGAGACCTTTTATTCCAAATATACCAGTTCATCACTCTGAAGTTCTGTTCTCCATACTGTCCTTGGACACAGAAATAATTCAGCCTTTTAGACATTTGTAATGAGGATGATAATTTCCCATTTCCAATCAGATGTCCTCACTTCTGATTAAAATCTCATCAGTATAGTCTTAACTGCTTTTTTTTTTTTTTTTTTTTTTTGCCAATATTCTGTTTAAGGGCATTGTGTTGGTTAGCTTTGTCAACTTTACAAAATCTATAGTTACCTGGGAACTAAGTCTCAATGCGAGACTGACCATATTGGGTTTTTCTGTGGTCATGTCTGTGAGGGAGTGTCTTGGTTGTGTTAACTGATGTGAGAAAATCTAGCCTAAAAGTGAGTGGTGCTAGTCCCTGTGGTTGGGTCCCAGACTGGGTAAGAGATGAAAGTGAGCTGAATGGTAGGCATGCATACATTCATTTCTCTCTGCTCTTGACTAGAGTATGATGTGATTATCCAGTTCAAGTTCCCTGCCTTTCCTTTTCTGCAGAACGAACTGTAACCTGGACTTGTGAAGTAAATAAACCATTCTCTCAAGTTGCTTGTTGTTTTTGTTTTTATTTATTTATTTATTTTTTCTAAGAAAGGGTTTCTCTGTGTATCCCTGGACTTGTGAAGTAAATAAACCATTCTCTCAAGTTGCTTGTTGTTTTTGTTATTTGTTATTTATTTATTTATTTATTTATTTATTTTCTGAGAAAGGGTTTCTCTGTGTATCCCTGGCTGATGTATACCAGGCTGGCCTCAGACTCACAGTTTCAGAGAATATTGTCAATCATGGCAAAGAAGACAAAGCAGCAAACAGAGATGGCATTGTGACAGGAGCAGGAGGCTGGGTGGTCACATGCATCCACACTCAGGAAACAGAGAGTGAAGAGGAAGTGGGCCATACAACATACAATAAAGCCTCAGGCCCACCTCCAGTATTCCACTTCATCCAGTGAGTCTTCACCTCTTTAAGGTTCAACAACCTTCCCAAAGCATACCATTGGGTAGAGATCAAGTGTTTAACCATGTGAAGTATGGGGGATATTTTACATTCAAAACACAATACACTTTCCCACTAAGGTATTGTTCAAATAAAAAATGACACGCTGATGCTCACCTCAATTACTGCTTTGGTAAGTGACTTCCTTTGGTATTTCAAAGGGGGAAATCAGAGTGGACTAGAATATGTTATATCCATAGGAAAAAGCACAATGGGACAGCACTGAATGTACAAATAACCACAACTATTTCACAACCTGGGAGAAACTCCAAGGCTTGAAGGGTATGGTTTATATCACTACTTACTGGATGGAGAGATGGCTCAGTGGGTAAGAATGCTTGCATAAGCACAGGGACCTGAGTTGTGATCCTAGCATGTACCTATAAGTCCAGTTCTGTGGGGAAGCCGAGACAACACTGCTAACTCCCAGCTTCACTTCAGGTACAGGGAGACCTTGTCTCAAAGAAAAAAGGCAGAGAGAGTGATACAGCAGGGCACCTGATGTACTTTTCTGGCCTCTGCAATCTCTCTCTCTCTCTCTCTCTCTCTCTCTCTCTCTCTCTCTCTCTCTCTCTCTCTCTCCTATCTAGATACCATGAAGTTGAATTCACAGCAGCTGGGGTTACCTACAAAATAATACAGGCACAATATTGGGCTGATCAACATCTTTTATGGAGGGCAGAGAGACTTCTGAAGACTTATAGGTCATTAACTAGTAGCTAAGGAGGAAAAGCTCATGAGGCCTATCTACTCCTTGAGGATCTCTACGTAGTTAATGGTTGCTAGGGGAGGAAGAGACATTTTCTTTAGTGGTATAGAAACTGGAAAGGCACTAGTTGAGAAAAAACAGATCAATGAGGGTAGGAGAGACATAAGAGAATATTATGAGGATCTCTATGAATTTGAGGCTAGCCTAGTGTACATAGTTCCAGGCCAACCCAGAGTACTTAGTGAGAACGTGTAAAAGATGGGGTGACAATAGGGTGCATTTGATTGAAAGTGTAGTAAAACACAAAAATGTACTTGCCAATCTTCAAATGATATTAAAGAGACAGTTGTGTTTCAAATTAAAGAGGAAGCTCAGTTCCAGACTCTCATGTCCACACTCAGAATTACATACTACATGTATGTGTGGAGGTTTGAATGAGAAATTTCCTCTATAGTCTTAAGCATTTAGATACCAAGTTGGTGGAGTAGTTTGGGAAGGTTTAGGTGGCATGGGTTTTCTAGAGGAGATAGGGGATAGACTTTGGAATTAAACGCCTCCCATCATTTCCATTTCACTCTCTCTGCTTCATGCTTGCATATAAAGATGAGCCCCCAGCTTCCTATTCTTGTTTCCATGAGTCCCACCTGCTACCGTGCTTCCCGACCACTATGTACTCTTATTCCTCTGGAACCATGTTTCTTCTATATGTTGCCTTGGTCATGATGTTTCATCACAGCAAGAGAAAAATGACTAATACAACTAATACATGCATGACAACAACTAACAATAGTGAAATAAATACATTATAC